TCCGATTCTGATTCTCCAAGATACGTATTTTTTGTTTGTTTTCTACACTAGCTACTAGGGAATCGTTTATGCTCTTTCGTAGACTAGTATTTTCTGGGGTATAAATATCATATGCCGAGTCGGTAACTACATTGCTAATATTAATGTCTGTGGGATGTGCATATTTGTTTGTGACAGGGGGCGCCGCTTTGGCTGCAAGTGGGGGCCCCTTTAAAAACCCTTCTCACGAAGGACGGTTGCGAGAGCCTGCAGATTGTCCTGCAAATAGTCCTCGGTCTTGATCGACCAGATATTAAACTTCCGCTTGGGAGGCTCCGGGCACTCCCGCTTCATGTGGCCCTCCTTGCCACAGTTATAGCATTTAAAAATGTGTAGTGTCTGCCACGTGCGGTCCACATCCATCGGGGCGGTCTCCCCCAGCCCGATCTTCTTCGCGAGGTTGGGCCGGCCCAAACCCTGGTGATGACTTGGCAGCCGGCGCTTGTGCACGCGCCGGGACCCAGAACATCTGGCTCTGTTGAGCCTCTCGGAGCTTCTTTCGCTCCATCACCCCGCTGATTGCTGTCAGCCTCTTCTTGAGTCCCATGTAATTCTCCGGGACTTCTACCCCTCCAGCGTACAGCTGGTTTCGGACGTCCTCGTTCACGAGGTTCTCGAGAGTTTCCACAAGAAAGGTGTTGTGGGGGGTGTCCTTGTCATTCGGGGCGTACCCCGCTTCCTCAGCGTTCAACTCAAACACCTGGATGAAGTCGGCCAGGGGAGTCTTTCCCTGCCGAGTTGTCGTAAGGCGCATGTGCGCCGTCTGGTTGACGTTCTTGTCCTGGAACGTCGCTTCCAGCTCCAAGATCAGATCATCGAAGTGGTAGAGGCTGTCAAGCCCCTCGCGCAGTGTGCGCTTTCGCCAATTATGTACCCAGTGTTTGTGGCTGGGCACGAGGCACCATCGGTCCGACCCAATAAGGAAAGGGTGAACACGATCTTCTTCTTTTCGGAGTCAAACTCCGAGTCATACGCCCATAGGTAATTAAGGAGGGCATCAAGAAAGGTCTCCCACTTGCTCTTGTCAGAGCCGTCGAAAGTGGAGGGAAGACGTGCAAAGGAAATCCGAGAGGACCTAATCTCTCTCGGGGCGGGGTCGAGATCCATAGGGGGCATGTAAGAGGTGGTGCCCTGGTTCTGGTCTTCGTCGGCCATTGAAGTGGTTGGTAAGGTAGTTGGGCGAGGGCGGCGTAAAGTCGATCGAACAGGGTGAAGGTAGGAAGTTCGGCGGAACGGTATAAGGAAGTCGGCGGTCCCGACAAAGAGGAGGTGGATGGGGCGCGGAAGGTCACTGTGTTGGTACAAATCCGCACTCAGCGGTTGGTGGAATTGCAACGGTCTCTTGCGACAGAACTACAAACAACTGGTGCTGCACTTGTTTGGACTCGCTGTGGACGAGGTAGGGAATCGGCGGGTGGGGAATAGGGAATAGGGAACTTCAAATACGAGAAGCCAAGTAGAGGGTAAGAAACCAAGTAGTGTATAGAGGGATGGGGGAAAAGGAGGTCGGAGGGTTGGGGCGGTACGAAGGTATCAAGGGTAGTCTTTTATTATGTCACGCTCAAGGCTCAAGAACACCCAATGGACGCACAATGCGGATTGGAGGTGCTTGGTAAGAGTGAGGCTCAAAGAATGATGGAATAAAAGACTAAGGAATACAAGCGACTAGCTACACTACTCAACTGTGGCTATGTAACTAGTGCTAATAATATATACAATAGAGTGTCCATGTGCCATAGGCACCATAACCATGTGTTCTGAGTAATAAACATGCCAGAACCGTGTGTTCTGAGTAAGAAACGTCCCGAAGCCATGTGTTCTGAGTAATCCCATGCATACTCCACATGTCCGCAGCATGACACCTGTCAGCTGTCCAATCACCAATCCATCGTGCTTCATCGGCATGTTCCTGTGGGAACCCGATCCCTGGCTGTCCGATCACTGATGACTCAAGCATAGCCTTGGTGTTTAAATAGACGAGTGCTTGATTAAGCGCTTAGATAAGGCGTTGTCGCGATTAGATAGTGTCTAAATCGTGACACCTAGGCCGAGACGAGTCATCTAGATTTGACCAGCTCGAACCCATACTAGGTATATTGGTTTGTTCCCGAGGCCTGCCGGCCCTAGCACGTATGCTAGCCAAACACGCGCCCCAACTGCTTGCCACGCGACCACGTAGGTCGCGGCATATTTCTAGTTCTCTATTGGTCAACGCAATACTGCCGCCCAGCCGTATCAACATGTCTCCGATGTCTCAGCTTTCTCGGTTTCATGATTCTCACTCGAACTACTGTTCGCGAACCAAGTTATAGTCATCGCGACTAGACCCCATCCAGAGTCTAGTGTATATATATGACTTTCCATGCCCAATCTGTGGACTTCATGCATGTCTCTCAAGTTTAGGTGTTTTTACCTCCTCGATACAGTGTCTAGCTTCTAGTACAACCGACCCTTTGCAGAGTCAATTCAATACTATGAAGCCCACTGAGTCCCAGACACCGCACGCTAACCCCCAATGGTATAAGGATCAAACCGTATTGTATCTAGAAGACAATAGTCCTCTCGCGTCATGAACACCTAGCCAGCAGCTCAGAGCTCACCCTGACTCTACTTGTATATCACCGGATAGAGGCTCTAGTTGGCAACTAGAAGTGCAAAAATGCACGATTGCACCGGCACGCAGTTACGAGCTGTATCAATGGGGCCGAAGGACTCTGCTACAACTAAGAAGCCTCGGAACCGCACCCTGGGAGCGAAGCCGACGCGGCGATCCCCTCGTACTGGTGGGGAGTTCAGTGGCAAGTGGCAGCTGCATCCATAAGTAAGGAGTCAAACTAACCTCTTGTTAGGCGATGTGGAGATGCAGGACGTTGATGCGTCTCAAGCATCCGCCAACAGCACTACCAATGCGAGCGCTGCTGACACCAGCCCTCCTCCTCCTCCAGCTCCTAATGCCGCCGCCATTAATGTGAGCGCCCCCAACGTGAACCCGCCGCCTACTCCTCCAGCTCCCAACACTGCTGCCAACACGAACCCGCCGCCTGCTCCTCCTCCGGCTCCCAACGCCCCCATTGTTGATGTGAGCACCACCAACGTGGACCTGCCGCCTGCTCCTCTAACTGCTGGCACCAGTGCTTCCAATGTGATCCCGGCACCGGCAGCGCAGTGCACGACGAATGGTAGGCGCGGTGGTCTTCCACTGCGTCTGGGGGCAGCACAGCAGTACTTGCTGTGACCCTCAACTGCTCCCTCTCCTGTTTCTCTCGTGTCTCCCTCCTCCCATGATGGTGCTTCATCCGGAGAGAGCCCGTCCTCACCACATCCTGTGTCACCAGACACATCAGAGGAAGAGGAGACAAGGCTCATTCCTCCATGCCCGGCGATGGCCCCGCAGTGGTTTTCGATGCTCTATCACGAGTTCTCACAGAAAGACCTTGGCCGGGACTTCAATGCTTTGCTTGAGCTCTTCGTGGCACTAGAAGAATTGTATGGCTGGGTGAAGGGTGGGGGAAAGGCTCTAGGAACTCAGCACTGTCCACCGCAAGTGACTGTGTGGGTGAGCACGGGACGAGGCTCATGGGGAGGTGCAATGGCAAACGGCGTGGGACCAGCCATTATGTCCCTCCCAGTATTCATCGAACAGTGGTGGCAATGGTGGGGCAGAGTGCAGCTGAGCTGGCGACTCCTGCGAACCGGGAACACAGAACGATTCGAGCGAGATAAATGGCCAGCAGGAGGGGTGGAGAATTGGTCGACTCTACGCCACCTGGGGCCAAACAGGGCCCTTAGTCTCGTTGCCACACTATACTAGTGGGGGAGGAAGGTGGAGGAGACTGGCGGAAATCACGCGGATTGTGAGTCTTGGGTGGAGGTGGTGAAAGACGTGAAATGGATATTGCGTGGGCTGTTGGCTGCTCAGAAGAAATCCATCTACAGTCAAAGCTGTCTTAACCCATAGCTGATATAATCCATAATCTGTAAAACCCCATACATTTTTGTATCCACCGAGATGGTTCCCCCTCAAAAAGCTTTAAAAAACCCATAAATCTGTGATTCCATAACCCATACATTTTCGAGGGCAAAATCCCATACTTTTGATGTAGTTTTGGTCTGTTTTTCTGCTTATCTGTTATGGACTGACCATAAATGTGTCCCAGAATTGACAGGAAACATGTTGTGGTCCTGCAAAAGAGACATTTCCACTGTAATCAACTGATATGGTTGACTGTCCAAACCGGATGTATGAGTCTTCTTGTTAAGAAATATACCCAGTTATACTAAATACATCAATTGAGTGAGACTGGCCCAAATTTCATGGTATTGGGCATGTAAGAATGATTTTAGGATTATTTTTGCGCTTAGTCGGGGTTCTCGGAAGACTCCGGGGTTTGCCGAGAGTTTTCCCACGGCTCTTGAAGCCCATACATTGTGAAAACCCATACTTTTGGCTGTTCACCATGAGGTATGGGGTAAGACAGCTTTGACTGTAACATCTCACGCTTCCTTCCTGTCTCTTGCCCCTTGCCTTGCGTCATCTGAACACTGACTTTTACATACATCTCGCCATACTCTTATTACTTGCACGATGCTTATTTTGTTTTGTTTTTCTTTTGTGCCTCTCCAATGACATGCGGTTTCTCATTATGTTCTTGAAATGTCTCCATTGCAAGAAAGATCTCGTAGTGTAATGGCAACACGCCGCGGATAAAATTTCTCTCTTTTGCCAGGAGGTTCTCCATGTCTGTAATTTGTATGATGTAGAAACAAAGGAGCCAAGGCTCTTGTAGCATGACCGGTTAATGCACCTGAGAATGATATGAATGTGCATCTTCAGGAATAACTGGGTTCGAATCCTGGCTAGAGCATAGGTTGGGCCGTAGCCTTTTTTTTGAATCAGTGAATTTAATTGTTTTAATTCAAGCTGGGGCTGGATACTAGCGACCATTCACTAAGATAGGTTAGCTCTTGTAGCATACTGGTAATGCACCCGACAATAATGATGAATTTGGGAGAAGTTCTTCGGGGATACTGGGTTTGAATCCCAGCGAGAGCATGGACAGATTTTGCGGTTTAGTATTTATTTTGTAGTCATTTAACTTTTTTTTTAAAATCTCCAATGGTGTTAAAAGCATGCATTTAATGTGTGCCAAAAGAATGATGGGAAAGTGGCGGGGGAGGCGGGAAGGGGACAGAATTGATGGCAGGGTGGCAGGGATGGATGCCATCAAATAAGCGATGGGCACTAAAATTGATGCAGTAGCTGATATTTGACCTATTTGATGCCAGCATGATGAGGAAAATGCCAAGGGGATCAATGGTCAAATATGCCAATCTAATCACAGATAGGCAGATAGGAAGAGACCGAAGGAAATGATGGGTATGTGCCTAAAAAGGGTGGCCGAAGGAACCCCAAAAGCCCAGCACCGGGAAAGCCGGTTCAAAAGCATGTAAAAAAAGCCGTAGCCAGGCCTTTGCTACAGCCGTGCAGGAAGACAACTTTGCACACTGGCTACAGCCAGGCCATTTAGTCTTTATATTACAGCTTGGGCTCCACCTCCGTCGCTGTTCCCACATCCCCTTTGAAGCGCACACACCGCCAACCTCTCGAGAACCTCCAGAACAACATCATGAACATAGAATCCGACTCTGCTCCAAACAAACCCCTTTCTCCGAAGCCACACGATGATGAGCTGCTGCCCCCGCCCGCCAAACACTGTCATCTCTCTGAAACCACCGGCAACGATGATGAGACCGAGAACAGTGACCAGTCGAGGACAAAGGCCGGTGCACAAGATCACGACCGTTCGGCCTTGGCCAGCCTCTGGCAGTTGTCGTGTGTCACGCAACACTGAAACAGGAAGTGAGATCGCACGCGGTCTGAAGCTAATCGGCCAGGGCATGTCTGCGCTGATCATCACAAAGGCCGACACCTCGCACCTCGACGCAATTGTTGATGCCTTTACTGCAGACCCCAGCCTCCTCCCAAACGATCCTGATGACGAATACTGCGCCCTTTTCCTGGATGCGTTGAGCTCGAACGAAATGTGTGTACGTGTATTCATCAAAACTCCGAACCACATCCAGCGCATCGCCTTGTAGAAGCACGTGTTGACCGAGAAGGAGATGGAGGTGCCTTTTGATTGGGTGTAGTTCTTCACTGTGTTCTTACTCATTGTGATCCTCTCGCATTCTCTGTATTCCGTCAAACCATTGTATTGTTGTGTTGTTACAATGTGTACTAGTCATCATGTTCTGCAATGTATTGAGCCCACATGCTCATTATGATCCTCTCCCGTTGTGTGTTTGCTCTATGTGACTCCTCATCTGTGATTGCAAGTACATGCTGCTCCGGAATGACCGCGCCGGCGAGGAATGGGTGGGCATCAGGATCGTACTCCTCTTGATGATCAATGTCGAACGCAAAGGAGTTGGATTCATCATGAATGCAAAGGAAATTGTGCAGAGCTCCGGTTGCGGCCACAATCTTTGATTGTACCGGATAGGAGCACTTGGGGCTGGAGATGGGGATGGGAAACTGTTGTTTTGTAACACCGAAAATTCTCTCAACAGTGTTTCGTAGTTGGGAGTGCTGAAGGTTGTACAACTCCTCTGGTGTCTTGGGTTCATGGCCTCTGCTGTCCCACTCTTTCAGGTGATAGCGTACACCGATAAACAGGGCCAGAATGAGATCGCAATTAGGGAATCCCACGTCACCGAGGTAATATTGATAAGGGGGTAAGGTGAATCCATTGCGACACGCGGTGTCGAAAAGTTGCCCATCTGCAGCCGTTCCTTCATACCCAGGCATCATGTACGTGAACCTAAGGTCAAAATCACATGCCGCCAGGACATTCTGGGTGATGGCTCCATGGCGATCTCGATAACGGACAGTATCTTCAGCAAGCACAAAGGTGTTGATGTGTGTGCCGTCGACAGTGCCTCAGCAATAGCAGAAGAAGGGGAAATAAGCAGGATTGGCAATTTTCGGGGGAGTGTGGTCTGTAGGGTTTCACACGTATTTCTGATAGAAGTTGCCCACGGTGTTGTGGAGGACGAGGTTTGTGTATTGGCTGATGGTGTCATTCGACCTCTGAAATCGCTCCATCAAGTCCCTTTGGCTGCTCACGTGGACAAACCAATAGACGAATATTGCTGTTTGTTCCGCTGTAGTGATGTGTCGACTATTGCCAAGATCTCCATTTGTGCTGAATTCCCAGCATAGCAGCAGGAAAGCGGCAGGATACATTCCGAGCTGATCAAGACACCGTTCTGGATGGCCATTGATAATTTTGTCAAGCCAGTCTTGACCTGTGAGAATGGACGTGTGGTGAGGGATGGGAATCGGGCATTCCAGATGCAAGAGATGGTCTGCACAAAAGACAGTTGCAAGCGCAGTGGCGCAGAGAGTGTGTCGGCGGTGCTGGATCAGATGAATGATGTCGGGTGAGATGTTGTGCGCGTCGTTGCGAAGGAATATGTGTGCGGCAGGCATGGGGATGCGTAATAATGCGGGGCTGGAAGCGGAGGTGGGCGTTCGGCAGGAGTTTTGATCGGTGTGACTGATCGTGACTTTTCAAGATTCACGCATGAATTACAGATGTTTGCATAAATGATTGCAGTCGCGGTTTTCGTGCGAGCTGTTTGTTCGTATGTGAAATCTGATCCGAGGTGATGGCCGCAGGAGAAAATATTTCTCAAGGAAAGCTTACACCTCAATGTTGATGAGGATTTCTGGCTGGTCATTCTTTTGAGAAGACTTTGCCTCACCTCTAAGCTCGCCCGACCTTTTGTGTGCCTTTTTGCACAGATGTAGTACGCCTCGGCGACCACCTGACCCACGGCAATCGCTGGACCAATATTCTTTTACATGTACAAACAAGACTGTGAAAATCCGCGACTGCAATCATTTATGCAAATGTCTGTAATGGTTGCTGATCAGGCCCTACAGAGATTTAGACAGAAAAATACCACTACAGAGATTCCCCTAGACTGGTAACCGATCTCTCTCTGAAGTGGGAAAACGTTCATAGAGACGACAAGCTTGCTTTCTTGTAGGCAGATTGGTCACCAGTCTAAGTTGAAGATTCCCCAACCCCGTAACATGCGGTGGGTTACGGTAGGCAAGAACTACGCAGTTCAATTTCAAACGAGCTCCGCGGTTCGAGCTGGCGTGGGTTCAAATCCGGCCGGAAGCGATCCTTTTCCAGGCCTCATCTCTTCTTCTATCTGGCACTGTACTGGAGCTCCTTGACTCCCCCCACATATTTCTTTTACAATTTTCAATTACAATGAAAGTTCAATTTTAATTAAGCGAGTTTTGTACTGAATGTAGTGATTTCTCGGATCCAATGCCCACTGTCCAGTGTCCAGTGTCTTGTGTTATTAGTAGGGCACTGAGGGCAGTCATTCTGAACATTTTCATGGGAAATTCACTGCAATGTGAGGTGTGAGGTATGTCACTAGATTTTTGATGCATGTCCAGGGTTACTTATGGGAAAATACACGATGGTTAGGAAGTACTCCGGGAGTCCAAGCAACTGCTGACTGGACCGAAAAGTATGTCTGTGGAAGAGTTAGAATATGAGGAATCGTGTGGGGTTGAAAACAGGGTCAGAAGATGCACTGAAGGCACTGTTTTCAAATATATTACAAGTCAGTACAACAAAATGAAGTGCATGAAAACTTGTAGCAGCCAACCCACCCCTGTCCTTGAATGCTTGCGCATGACGAGCACATCATTTATTTCACTTCCTGCCATGTGCATACAATGTCCACATTTGTTGTGAGTCCAATGCTGGACTACAGGGAAAGTGTTCCTAAACATGATCAGTCATGGAAGGCAACTGCAAAAAGGGTCAATACACCAAACCAGACTCCCTGGCTCCCCACCAAAATCCAAATTCGGAAGAATCCAGAAAAAATGGGATACTTACCTACCAGCAAGGTCAAGGTCAACGTGACTGAACTGAAAAATTAATTGGAATGGAAATGAATAGAGGGTCTAGCCAAATAGAATAGAGGCATGTGTTCAATATTAATGCTTTAAACATGTGAGGGAAGCAAAATAAATGTCCGACAGGACTACGGTAGGCGAGAGCTACGCAGTTCGATTTCAAACGAACTCCGTGGTTCGAGCCGGCGGGGGTTCGAATCCGGCCGTAGCAACCTTTTTCCAGCCTAATTTTTTGTGTTTCCTCTTCCATCTGGCACCTCCTGGTCTGTTGTCCTGAAGCTCCTTCTGTACCTCCCTGTCCATGGTAGATCCATGAATATTATTTTAGCCTGTGAACTATTTCCAGCGAGACATAGTGAGTTTTTTTGCTCAATGCACAACTAGGTACTCGAAATCTCATACCGTGTCATGTTACATGAAATTGACTCAATTCTTCTCCCAGATTTTTCTCAGAATTAACTAGGGATCTCAGATTGACTGAATTCCATTAAGATGAGTCCTGTCGGACATTTACTTTGCTTCCCTCACATGTTTAAAGCATTAATATTGAACACATGCCTCTATTCTATTTGGCTAGACCCTCTATTCATTTCCATTCCAATTAATTTTTCAGTTCAGTCACGTTGACCTTGACCTTGCTGGTAGGTAAGTATCCCATTTTTTCTGGATTCTTCCGAATTTGGATTTTGGTGGGGAGCCAGGGAGTCTGGTTTGGTGTATTGACCCTTTTTGCAGTTGCCTTCCATGACTGATCATGTTTAGGAACACTTTCCCTGTAGTCCAGCATTGGACTCACAACAAATGTGGACATTGTATGCACATGGCAGGAAGTGAAATAAATGATGTGCTCGTCATGCGCAAGCATTCAAGGACAGGGGTGGGTTGGCTGCTACAAGTTTTCATGCACTTCATTTTGTTGTACTGACTTGTAATATATTTGAAAACAGTGCCTTCAGTGCATCTTCTGACCCTGTTTTCAACCCCACACGATTCCTCATATTCTAACTCTTCCACAGACATACTTTTCGGTCCAGTCAGCAGTTGCTTGGACTCCCGGAGTACTTCCTAACCATCGTGTATTTTCCCATAAGTAACCCTGG